CCCGCTCCCCGGGCACTCCCGGGGCAGGCAGGGGTCCAGGCCCAGGGCGGGCGCAGGTGCGCGGCGGAGGCCGAGGACGGGGGCGCGCCCACAAGGGCCTCTCCGGGTCGGACGCGACGGCAGGGGGGGGGTCTCCTCACCAGGCTCCCGTAGGCCATCACCAGCACGACGTTCACCCCGGACAACCAGTTACTGCCGGACGCCATGGCCTCCCCGCCCCGCGCACAGCTGCTGCGGGTCACCCCGCCGCCCTGCCTCGTCAGCCCGGGCTCCGCCGAGGCACCGGCGCCTGGGGTCCCCGAAACCCCCCGGCCATTTCCTCACGAGGAAAGACCCAGGCTGACCCGGCCTGAAAACATGGCGGACGGGAACCCAGGAAAGAAGAACGTCGCCTTCCCGCTACCCCCCAGCACGTGACTCAGGGCCGCACCGGCCCCGCGGGCTGCGCGCGCCGAGGCGCCGAACGACGCAGGAACAGGAAGCGGGGGCCGCCCGTGCGTCACGCGGCGGAGGCGGGGCGGACGCGCGGAGCCGCAGCGCCGCGGCTCGTGGCGGAGCGGTGCGCGCACGCTTGCGTGCGCGCCCCTTTTCGCGTCACGTGCCGGGGGACGCAGGCAGGCAAGTGGGAGGGGGAAGGCGCGAGAGCGAGCGCGAGAGAGGAAAGGAGGGAGGGGGTGGGGAGGAGGGAACCTCACGTCACGTGACAGGGGCGGCGCGGCCCGGGGTGTCAGTGTGGAGGAGACTGAGGTAAAGTTGGGAGCGCAGCGGCGTTGGCGGCAGCGGCGGCGGCAGCGGCAGCGCGGCGGGGCCGGGTATTGTCCGCGGCCCCTTTAAATCCGCGGTCTCCCTTTCCCCTCCCTCCCCTCTCCCCTACCCCGCCGGCCCCCCCCATAGGCCCCCCGCCCCGTGCGCTCCCCCCACTGGACACCCTTCCCGGTCGTGCGAGCCCGGCGCCCCCCCTCGAGTCGGCCGCCGGGGGTTTTGTTTATGGTTGGATTTGCGGCCTAGTGGGCCGCGCCGGAGCCGGGGCCTCGATTTGGGAGCGTGGCCGGGGCGGGGCTTGGGCAGCCGGAGGGGGGGGGGCATGCGGCTAGAGCCTGAGCAGGGAGCGCGAGGAAGAGGGCGAGCGAGCGCGGCCTGGGCCCCGCCTGAGGTAGGGCCCGCTCTGCCCTGGCGGCTGCCTGAGAAGACGACGAGGGGGCCTCCTCCCTTCCCGGCCCGCTGCGGGCCTCCTCCGATCCGGATCCGGCCTGGTTTCGGGGTGGCGGGGGGGGGGGAGGGCGGCGGGGTGGAGCTGCCCCGAACTCCCCCATGTGGCCCTCAGTTCGGAGTGCGGAGGATGAATTTGTTCCGGGTGGGAGGTGAGCAGGCGATGGGCCCCGGGGGCTCCCGAGGTGGCGCGGAGCGGGGTGAGCCTCCCCATCCTCCGCGCGTGGGCTTGCGTCCCCTCTCCGTTTCCAGCCTCTTTGTCAGCGCCTCTGGTTGCCCTTCCTTCTCGCTCGGCGCCCCGGCTCTGGGAGCGCGTTCGTGGCTGCTGTCGTTGGCTCGCTGTTGTCCGTGCTGTAGTTTCGGGGACCCCAAACAGTTGTGATGCCGTTTGGGAGCTGGACGGGGAGACCCCCGTAGCGTGTATTACGCCCAAGGGACGTCACTAGAGCCCTGGGGTGTCTGTTCACTCTTCTCGTAGTAGGACAAGGATCCGGAATTTCTTCCGGCCCGTCACTTTGTGGACCATCCCTAAATTGCTTTGTAAACTGATGTCACAAACAGGAGCCCGCTCCTCCACCGTTCTTGAAATGTAGCCACCTCTGGTGTAGGATGTTGTGGAAGGAAAAACCACAGGAACAGGCCTTTTTTGTTGTCATTGTTACCGTTTTCGCCTTTGACTGTCCCTGAGTATTAGATGGAGAAAAGCTTTTTTTGTGTCCTCTCCGTCCACCTTTCACCGCCCATGTCCTGCTTGGGGGATGTGTGATGTGACTTGCTGGGAGGTGATGGGGGTCAGTGACAACCAGCCTTACCGGGGAACGAAAACGTGTTAGTTATGTACGGGTTGACAAAACTGCTTTGAGATCCCCACCATTGTCCTTAAAAGAGTAGACCGTGCCAGTGATTATTTCCGTTGTGAACAGCAAGTATTGCTGGCCCGGAACTAACGATGAAAGACCTTAAAATGTACTGTTTTGTTTCTGATTTTTGAAGCCCCTCTTTGCTAAATGTGTCCTCACTGGCAAGTACTCTTCTTACAATTAGAGTCGAGTATATGGAGAAGGGGATACTGGGGTCATTTCTACAAAGCATCCAGGGGAATTAGTTGTTCTGTTGCGGGTAGCGAGCCTTACTTACCCAGTCCAGCTTCAGAGTGTCTGAATTGTTTTTTCAACTTAGATTGTAAGCTCCCTGAGGGCAGCAAGCAAGTCATACTGCTTTTGTATTTCCTAAAATACTGGACACATAGTAGATACTCAATAAATACTTGTTATTTATTTTTTTCTGTAAAATTTCTCTGGCTATTTTTTCAAGTAGCTGGTTTTCAAAAGATGGTCAAGGGCACTCCTGTGTTGAAACCAGTATTTGTTCCTGCACTGTTCCCTTGGTCTCCCAGCACTTCTCATGTGTTTCCTGTAAATATTTTTATTTTCTAAGGAAAAGTACTTAAGATTCCTCCCCTCCACTGTGATAACTCTAGGTATGTGTGTCTGCTTGCTACTAAAAGGCTACTAATTTTGTGCCCTCCGGTGATCCATCCCAGATCACTTACTTTTGACCTGTCGCTCAGTGTTGTTACTACGTAGGTGGTAAAAATTTCTTAGTCACACATTTCAAAGCACTTGTAAGAAAGAAATGGAAGTTAACAGCCTGACTGATCAGGATTTTTCCTCAGTAATTATGTGGCTTTCAAGATGACTTTTTAATATATTTACACGGGTACAATATATGTAGTCATCCATATTGCTAGTCATGCGATTCATATTTGTAGTATTAACTTAGGCTTGTAAGGTGAAATCATAAGTGAAGTAGAAAGCAGTCAATATTTGTAAGTTACAGGAGCATTTATTCGCATTAGAAATTCATTTTAGAGCCAATTATTAAGTATAATAGTTTTCGTCTAGTTTTAATTTTTCCTTTTGATTTGAGTCCAGGGGTACTGGTTAAAGAACACTTGTTTTTTTGTGAGTGCTGAAACTTGGCTATAATGCCAGTCTGGGTAAATGGACTACTGTGTAGCAAATAATCCTGTACTAGCTAGAAATATTTACAGGCTTTTGTGTGGCACATGTGCATGTGTGTAGGGAGAAGAGGTAGTGGTTAAAGAATTAGCTCTGAGATTTCTTTAAAAATTTTGGTGATAGAGAGTGTAAAACTCTTAAATTCTTAATACTGTATCAAAAACAAAGACGTATGCAGACTATTGATCCAACTTGGTGGAGAATTTATCCTCAGGGAAGTTAGTTTTCTTTGTGACCTGAAAAACCAGTGAAATTCACTTCCCTAATAATCCTTCTATATTTCGTTAGAAGCCCAACCTACCTCTCCCTCAAATTCATCGGTGTCTTTTGGGCAGTCTAGCATTACCCATATAAAGTTTCATTAATGAAAAAAATTACATTTAGAGCAGAAAATATAAACTTAGCCTCTTTGGGAGGGAATAAAACAGTGCAGAGTAACGTCTTATTTTGAGCGCTCCATCGTATGGTGGATATTTTCTTTGTTTACTAAATGCAGCCGCTGAGGTTGTGTTATAAAGCAAAGTATGAATGAGGGAACTTAAGTTCAGGAGAATCCTAGCTTGCTAGAACTGTTAATAACAAAAACCATTCTGGTTTTGGGAAGGCCCTGCTTGTTCTCGGTCTCTTTAAAGACTCAGCAGAGTCCCATTGCTGGCAATAATGTCTTGAGTTTAAAATGATAATCCTAGGGGCACCTGTGTGTCTCTCTTGGCTAAGCATCTGCCTTGGGCTCAGGTCATGATCTCAGGGTCCTGGGATCGAGCCCCACATCGGTCTCCCTGCTCAGTGGAGAGCCTGCTTCTCCCTCTCCCTCTGCCTGCCGCTCCCCTGGCTTGTGCTTTCTCTCTCTCTCAAATAAGTAAAACCTTAAAAAAAAAAAAATCCCAACTCTTCTTTAAAAAAAAAAAAAATTTTTTTTTTTTTTAATTAAATGATAATCCTAGAAGCCCTTTCTGAATCCAAATAAAACTGTGTGCTAGGTGCTTTTGGTATGGGACAGATTTGGGATTCTCTGTATATTAAGGTGAGTGGTAAAGAGTGTTTGCATTTCTGGTGCCTGGGAACTGTGGACTAGGAGGTCGACAGAAGTTGCTGCAAAAACAGTGTGTTGGAATTATCCAGGGAATTGAGATTCTGAGCAGTCGCTGGGGCTAATACTTGCTTTGTTGAAGGTTATAGAAGCTCCCACTGCATGAGGAGAGATGCAACTTGAGGGAGAAAGGCTAGACTTGAGCTTGTCCTTTCCCAAGTGATGGAGGTCGCATGCAACTTATATAAACTGGTTGTAAGGGAGGTAGGACTGTTTTCATAGGTACACAGTACAGTATTTTAAATTGTTTTTACTTGTTTTGGAGTATAGACTAATCCCCTTCCTGGAAGGCTTTTGTTTCCAGGTTTTGCTGATTATCTTTCCTTCTGTCAAAGGGACTTCAGATATTTCTGTGTAGAAGGCTTTTGACTATTTTTTTTTAAGAATTTATTTGAGAGAGAGAGAATGAGAGATAGAGAGCACGAGAGGGAAGAGGGTCAGAGGGAGAAGCGGACTCCCCACCGAGCAGGAAGCCCGATGTGGGACTCGATCCCAGGACTCCAGGATCATGACCTGAGCCGAAGGCAGTCGCTTAACCAACTGAGCCACCCAGGCGCCCGAAGGCTTTTGATTATTAACATTGTTTTACTTGCTATCAAGATAACAAAACTTCACAAAGTCCGTGTATAGGGGACTAGTAACCAAACTGTGCCCATAACTTAAAAAAAAAAAACAAAAACCGTCACTTAACACATACTTTTATGTATTTCTTGTTCTACAGAAATGGATTAACAGCCATTGTTCCTTAAGGAATTTATCAAGCTAAATATGTCTTAAGAACAGATGAATTTTCTTGGTTTGTTGCTTTTAAAGAAATGAAAGTGGTGAAGATGCTGGTGAAAGAGAGCTTGAAAACTTATTTTGCCTGCATTTAACATCTAAATTGTTATTTTTTAAATCTTTCAGTATTCTACCTTGTAAATACTGTTATTTGTATATACTGTAAATGATGACGTCGGTGGGCACTAACCGAGCCCGGGGAAACTGGGAACAACCTCAAAACCAAAACCAGACACAGCACAAGCAGCGGCCACAGGTAAAGAACTCAAGGGATATGGATTTATTGGTAGCATTGCTGGTTGATACTGGTT